TAGATCCGCTGGTAGTAGCGTTTCTCTACTATTCTAAGGATAAAACATAGTATTGTTCTGGCCAATCTAGGGTTATCTATGACCCTCTCTCATATGACCCGAACAATAGAATGTTTTGTCCTTACAATAGAAAAAAATATCAATGGGGTATCCAATCTGACTGGGCAACCCCATATATATATTCTATACATTTTTCAAAACGAATATCTATTTCTAGATGAACAAGAATCAATTCATACAATTGAACGTGAAGAAGAATTTGATTTTAAAAAATTTATAATACGGTAAGCAAAAAAAACATTAAACAATCAAAGTCTATACTTATCAAAAGATTACTACAATCTATCAGAATATTCATCGAATTGATATAATTCCATATAAATAACAAAAAATAAGTTTCTATCAACATTAACTTCATATTATAAACAAAAAACTTGCAACATAATCTTTAATAAATAGTAATCAGAGCCTTAATAATTATTATCTACCAGTTTGTTTATGTTTATATAAATATGATAATATATGTGAAAGTATATTATATATGACCTAGATTATCTTCATAACGGATATAATAACTTGTATAAAATTATCATTTTTTTTTTATTATTTTAGTTTTGCACATTCAAGTATACTTTCATCATATATTGATGTTCTTCGCACATATACAAGCAATACACCATATTTAAATCATTGTATAATTCGTATGTTTTATCGTATATCAATTGATTGTAATTATCCTGGTATATTTTTTCAAATGTCATTATTTCGTATTTATCAAAAATTTTATCTTGATCCATTAGCAAAATCACAACAATTTTCTGTAAATTTTGATTGCATATCGAATACTTGCTTGTTGTTTTTTTTTTCTAAATGTTTTTTTTTTATTTTATTTTATAGGAATTATTACAATTTGGTACTTGGTTATTACGTAAATTTTTTGTAACTATACAAAAGAATCCATATATATATGCTGAATTACTTTTTTGGAAAGATCGAAGTATTCTTGAAGATATGCTTGATGGATATCGTCATACTACTCGTACGACGAATGAAGGAGAAAAGTAAAGATTTGTTGTTTTTTTTTTGAATATTTATATATTGCTTTTATTTTATTTTGTTTGTTTTTTTCATATATAGGAAAATTAAAGCAGGATCATGGTCAATTGAACATCAAATTGAATTACGAGATCTTTTTAGAAAAATTAAAGAAGAACAAGTTGAAAATATTGGTTTGTAGAATTGTTTTATTTTGTATTTGACTTATTTTAATAAATTCTAGGACTTGAACAAACTGATATTATTGATCGAATTATGTTAGAATTAACGGATAAAACAAAGACAAGACGTCAAATAATAAAAGAATTAAAAAATCAAGATTTAATTAAAAATATTAGAGAACTTAAACTGTATGATCAATTTTCTTTTTTTTTGTTTTGATTCTTTATAATTATTACATTTTATTTTTTTTCTTTTATTAGTAAAAAAACAAGAAATCGTCAATCAAAGAAAAATGATTTTCTTGATAATTCAAAATTTCTTAGTTCGGATTCAGATGTTCCAGATATAGATGATGATGATGATCGTTCTATTGAAAATAAATCAATTTCATCTGAACATGAACAAGATAATTCAAAATCTGATAATATTATATCAACAGAAATTCCTAAAAATACTGAACAAGAAGTAGAAGAAGAGGAAGAATCAGTACCTGTTATAATAAAACAAAGTCGTAAATTTGAATCTTCATCAATGTTCAACGATAATGATAATGATAATGATGATGATGATGATGATGATATTTCTTCATCACGACCAATTAAAAAAGCACGTCGTCAGTTGGCATCTTCAAGTGAAGACGATGATTAGTTTATTTTTCTGTGTACTTATGTTTTTTTTTTGTTCTTCTTGTGTATTAAAATAAAACAATATCAAATTATCATATCTGGTTTTTGTTTTGATATACTTTTATAGAAACTTTTCTCTATAATTAGTGAGATGATAACAGAGCAAAAAAAATGTACATCGTATCTGTCATGTATGTAAAAAAAAAAACATGACCTACAGATACATTGTCGTTGATCTGTTGTCTCTATCTATTAAGTTATGCGAAATTATAGAAAAAATAAATGAATAATGATGATATTTATCATAGAATATCAAATTCTTTCTATATTTTTTTTTGGTATTTTGAATGTATGTAAGAATAATTATACATATGTTGTCCGATAAATAGAGAGAAAAGAAAAAAAAAACAAATCCATCCAAATAAATATAGAATAGGCTAATCAGATAAGAATCATATGTCTGTTTTATTTGTCTCTTACACCTGTTCGAAATATATAAATTTACAATTATGAATATGTACAGAGTCTTCAATTTCGCATTATAACAATCCTCTATATAACTGAGATACGACATTACGAAAGAACGATAATGATGCTACCATCATTCTTACACACAATTCTCTTTCTTCGCTTTGTATATTAGAATCAACGTGATAATCATACTCTCATACATACTGTGCTATTACTGGTAGCTATACTGTTGGCCTATAGTGGGAGGAAGAATGAGAGATGCATAGTGTATAGCAGGGAAGACAACACACATATATATATATATAGCGAAGAAATGTAGTATCTTCTCTTCTCTTCTTTCTTTGTACTTCATATGTTTGATTATAAATGCATGTGCACGAGAAGAAAAGGAATTTCTTACTTTGCCTACAGACTACTGATATTTTATCTGTCCATGTTATTATTGTTTTCTGTGTCTGAACCAAACACGTATATGCAGTTTTCTTCCTTTACGGTTATTCTGTTCATTGCACGTCGTCTCTCTAATGTTTTCCTTGCGGTTGATGAGTGATCGTTAATAGAGAGAAAAAGAATTTCTAGCTCGTTCTAATAATATCGTGTAAGGAACATAGATACATCTATATAAGATGGTGTTACTTTTTTTTTTCCTATTGTAGTTTTATCTGTACAAAGAAAGAAGAAAAAAAATGACCTTTATTGCTCTTTGTTCCTTGAAATTTGTCCTCGTAGCACATATTCTGCCTATGCTAAGGATATTTTCCTATTCGAGACATAGAGGATGTCTTGTATACATACGCCTAAATAGAAGTTCGCATAACCCTATGCATATTAATCCACTCTTTTGTTTTGTTATTAAGCGTCGCTAGCGAAGCATTGGCTCAGCTGAAAAATTCTCGAAGAAAGAAAAAGACACGAACAACTATAATACAAACACAGTCTTGTGTTGTAAGTATAAGAACATATGAATATTATAAATTCTTCCTTTCTCTGTCTCTTTTTTTTTAAGATGAAAAGGTTAAAAAGTATACTTCAATTTGAAGTGGAATAATCTTTGCTATACTAGTATATACTTGACAATAGTATAGTTTGAAAGTAAAAGATAGAAAGAAAGACAGATAATGTAATCTTTGTTAATTTTAAAAAACAAAAAGAAAAAGAACTTTTATATATGTCAAATCATTATGATTCTGTATTAGATCAATTATCAATTGATAAATGTTAGTTTTGTTATACATATTGCCATTAAACGACTATCTTTCCATGGTGAGAATAGTGTTTCATTGAACTTTTCGATGTTCGCCTTTTGTCCTTTGTTTTGTTCCTATTCTTTGTCGACATGTGAAAGATTACTGATACCACTCATCGAGTGGTCAGTACAATGCCATGTCTAAAGTTAAGAGAAAGAAAAGGAGAAGATCATCGATATGCTATCGGGCGATGAAATGTCGCTCATTATATATATATTTACATATATATATATATATATGTAGATAGATAGATATAGAAAGGAAACCAACACACTTGTGTGTATTATTCATAAGTTGTTCTAGTAAGCAAAAGGATAGATCGAATAAATAAATTGTTTAATTCAATTGTTTATCTCACATAAAATAATAATCGTGACAGATTGAGGATGACTAAGTTCGCCCACACATTTCGCCTTCTTGTATTCACTTTTTGTGACTAAGAAAAGAAACATAGTGTGAATAAGTGCTTTAGTATTGCAGAGAAGGAAGAAAACAAAAGTTGATTCGTTCTTTTATTCTATTATTAATAAACCTTATGAGTGTAAGAATAATTTAGGTACTTGATAGTTCATTTGATTGAATATATATATATATAGAGCATATTTCCCGATGCATCGCACACAAACTTAATCGTAGAAATAACTATATTTTATTCTTCTCTATAGGGTAGTTAACATTCAGTCATCAGTATGTATGTCTGTTATAGTTTAATCTACTTTTTTTTCGATTCAATTGTTATCTAATGTATCTATTAAGAACGAGACTTCGATTTTTTTTTCGTAGGTGGACTGTATTACATTGATTTCATTGATGGTGTTACTATAGTTATTCTTATAGAACAAAAAAAAAAACTTCTCGTTGTTTAATATAATGATATAAAAATACAAAAGATAGAATGAAATTTTTTCTTTTGTCATTGATCATCTGATGATAAATAATGTCAGTAATATAAAAATCATAGTGCCATGTTTTTTTCTTTTAAATAAATTCATGTTTTTGTCTGTTTTTTAAGTCATTTTGTTTTGTTTTTTATCAAAATATTTCATTGCGTGCACACATTTAATACAGGTGCCTCTTCTCTTTTCTTTTTTTATTTCTTCTTTCTATTGTGTATGTTAACTGTTTTATGAATAGACGTGGCGTTGGAGATTTTATTCTGTTCTTTCCTTTTCATATTCACATAGACACATACATACATGCATATATATATATATATATATGTATACGAATGAGAGACATACCGAAACCAATTTTTTCAAAAAAAAAAAATTTCATGTGTTCTGTTTTTTTTCTTTCTCATCTACTAGGTGAATCACATATCTACGATTCGAAAACGTATAACCATCTAAACTACTATTACAGGTCGTCGTTAAAGAAGAAGAAGAATAAGAACGGAAGAAAAAAATAAATATTGAACAGAAAGAAAAAGGAAAAAAAAATGTCAACTACGTACAACCAGTCAGCAAACGGCTATTCAGGTGGTGGAGGAGGAGGCGGACCTGGCTACACTGAAAATCTTGAATACAACGAACAAGGTGAACATTTAGACGAAGACGAATTTGGACGTACCGAGGAAGGTAAATAAAGGTGTGAGAATAAAAAAAAAAGAAGAAAACTTCTTCATGTTATCTTAAATTATATGTTTTTCTTTTTTGTTTTTTTACTCATGAATAATTTTCTTTTTTTGTTTTTAAGAATTTTATGAAGATATGCAGCGAGAATTAGCTGATGATGCTCCATGGAAAAGAATACAACAAAATACATTTACACGTTGGGCTAATGAACATTTAAAATTAGTTAATCGTCATATTGAGGATTTACAATCGGAATTAAGTGATGGTTTAAATTTAATTGCTTTAATTGAAGTTTTATCACAAAAAAAAGTTCCACGTCATAATAAACGACCTAATTTTCGTTCACAAAAATTAGAAAATGTATCTGTTGTATTAGATTTTCTTGAAAATACAGAACGTATACGTCTTGTTAATATTGGTAAGTAAGTTTATTTTACCTATTAGATATACATATATATATATATAAATGTATGTGAGTGTATAGTGAAGAGATTTCTTAAGAGTATAGAAATGTACTTAAGACAAGTGCGTTAAGATTTGTCGTCTTTTTTTTTTTTCTTAAAAAAATTTTCTTATATATCTGTTTTATGCTATTAAATAAGAAATTTTTTTTTTTACTTAGTTAATCATTCTTTATCAATATTGTCTAATTCGTTACCGAATATGTAAGAAAACAAAAGGTTTCATATTTCATTGAAGAAATAAAATCGAATAAAAAAAAAAAGAAAAACGAAAAGAAACGATACAACTGTTATGTATTGAGAATCGATGAAGCAATGAGCTGGAAAGAATAAAGATTTTTTTTTCTTCCTTCTTTTGTTCATTTAATGAGGATGAATTAAGACTATGCATATTAACAGATAAAGAATAAATGAAAATTTTTTTCTTTCCTCAATTGAACATTATTGCAATAAAACTGTACATTAAAATTAATTTATCAAATTTCATATGATAGGTTTTTTTTTTTTTTGTTTTGAATATCAAATTATATCCCCTAATATTTACTATAGATATGAATGATTCTTTAAGATTGGATTGACGTATCTTCAAGGTCTATGACCATGAACTAAAACGTCGAAGTGAACCTTGATATCGATTTTTTTTTGTTTCGGGCTCAATAAATGCATGAAGATACGTCAACTAAATTTATTCAACACATTAATTTCTATAATAAATGTCACAGAAAAAATAAACCAGCATTTTGAGAGAAAATTTGTTTTCTGTACAAAAAAAAAAAAAACAAAATGATTTATTCATATTATTTAATTTTTGAAAAAAAAAACATTTAGATGCTTCACATATTGTTGATGGTAAATTAAAATTAATTCTTGGTTTAATATGGACATTAATTTTACATTATTCAATTTCATTACCAATGTGGGAATTCGAACAACCCGATGCACCTGGTTCAGGAAGAGATGCAACACCAAAACAAAAACTTATGCATTGGATTCAAGAAAAATTACCACCAGAATTACCAATTACAAATTTTACATCTGATTGGAATGATGGTCGTGCTATTGGTGCACTTGTTGATGCATGTGCACCAGGTATAAATATATAAAAACAAAATCATATGCATCTTTTTCTATCGGCTTTTTTTTTTATTTAATTAGGACTTTATCCGGATTGGAATGATCAAGATCCAAAGAATGCATTAGAAAATGCTAAAGAAGCTATGGATTTAGCTGAACATTGGTTAGGTATACCACAATTAATACAACCACATGAAATGATTAATCCAAAAGTTGATGAACAATCTATGATGACATATTTATCACAATATCCAAGTGCTAAATTAAAACCAGGTGCACCTATTAGACCAAAGACAAATTCAGCACGAGTTCGATGTTATGGCAAAGGTTTGTACTTTAAATGATTACGTCTTCAAGAATAAAGATAGAAAGACAAAAAAAAGGAACCATCTGATGCCTCGTTCTTTTCTTTTTGAGTCTCACTCATTGAATGAATTAACATTTGTCTTTTATTCTTCATTTTCACGGTCACTTCTTTCGTAACATACAGTCTAAAATGATGAATTCATCTGAAAAAGTTGGAAATACAGAAATTTATTCATATAAACGTTATGTAAAAAAAATGAAGAATATTACTGAAGAACAATGGATTAAACGAGTACATTATTATCATTATCGTCCTCGTTTGTTTGAATATATATTTAACTTGAAATATTTTATTCATTTCCTTTTGTTTTCATTAGGTATTGAACCGAATGGTAATCATGTTGATACACCAGCTAAATTTCATGTTGAAACTTTTGCTGCCGGCAAAGGTAATGTTGATGTTGTCATTATTAATCCAAAAGGACAACGAGAAAAGGTAAAGATTTTATACATATATATTTTTTTTTGTTTGTTTATCTATAAAAATATTTATTTATTAGTGTGATGTGGATTTTCGTAATGATAAAAATCAAACATATGATTGCACATATTATCCAACAATGGAAGGACAATATAAAGTAAATTAAGAAATTACAAAATAAAAAAAAATTTTTACAAAAATTTTTGTTAATAGGTTATTGTTAAATTTGCTGGACAAGAAGTACCAAAATCACCATTTTCACCTTATATCGAAGGAAAAGCAGGTGATGCTAGTAAATGTCGTGCACATGGACCTGGTCTTGAACCAAATGGTGTTATGGTTGATAAACCAACATGGTTTGAAATCGATGCAATAGGTTCATTTTAACATTCATTCATTCATTTTCTTTTTTTCTATTAATTTATTTTTTTTAATACAAAAATAGATGCTGGTAATGGTCTTGCTGAAGTTGTACTTGTTGATCCACGTGGTCGACAAGATGTTGTACCTGTAGCAGTTAAACAAACTAGTCCTGGAAAATTTCGTTGTGAATATGTACCACGTGAACCTGGTCTTCATTTAGTAAATATATTATTTGCTGGTCGACCTGTACCAAATAGTCCATATGGCGTTAATATTTCATCATGTATGTAAAAAATTTTCAAAAAATAATTCTTTTTTGTTTTTTTAAAAATCAAAAAAAAAACAAAATATACATAAATAACTTATATATAATAGCATCAATTTCATCATACGATGATTTAAGAGATAGATTAACAACAAGTGAGGATGATTATTATTCATCAATTGAATTAGAACGATCAAAAAGTACAACTAGTAGTGATACAATATGTGCTCTAAGATATCAAAATGGTTTGTTTTATTATTATTATTATTGTTTCTTCGTAGACGGGAGGGATTAGTAATTATCTTTTTTTTTGTTTTTTTTTTATTATTTTACTGGAAATGGTGATGGATAGTAGTAGTATTGGAATTTTTCAAGAAGAATATATTAAGATTCTTTTTTTTTTGTTTGATTTTTTCTTTATAGCATCTGACGCCAAAAAATGTCGTGCTTTTGGACGAGGTATTCAACCAAAAGGTGTTCGTACTGGTGATGTAGCTGAATTTCGTGTTATTACAAAAGATGCTGGAGAAGGTATTATGAAAGCAACAGTAACTGGACCAGGTAAAAATTCTTTTGTTTTTATATAGGATTTTATTTTTGAAAAAAAAATTTTTTTTTTTTTTGTTTGTTTTAGATGGTTTGGAAATTCCTTGTCGTGTAACAAAAGCAAATACTACAACATATGAATGTGGTTATGTACCAAATCGTGCAGGACCTCATACAGTTAATATAACATATGGTGGTGCTCATATACCTAAAAGTCCATTTCCAGTCGATGTAGAACCATATAAAGATTCAAGAATACGAGCATTTGGACCAGGTCTTGAAGGTGGTATTATTGGTTTTCCAGCTGATTTTGTTGTTGAAACAAATGGTGAAACTGGTTCATTAGGTAGGTTATAAAAATATTTAAAAAAAATTTTTTTTTTCTTAATTAAATTCTTATTATTCAAAAAAAAAATAATTCATTAGGTGATATGAGTAAGTATCTATTTGATGTGTATTCTTTTAGTAAACTGCATGGATTGAACTTTGGATGTTTTTTGTTTTTGTTTTTTTCACTGTATAGATTAAAAAATTTCATTTTGGTTTTTTTTTTCTAAAAGGTTTTTCAATCGAAGGACCATCACAAGCACGTATTGAATGTAATGATAATGGTGATGGTTCAGCTAATGTTCGTTATTGGCCAACAATACAAGGTGAATATGCTGTACATATTCTTTGCAATGATGAAGATATACCACATTCACCATTTATGGCATGGATTGAAGCACCAGGAAATTTTGATTCGGATAAAGTAAAATAATAGATATTTTGTTTTTTTTTTGTGACTAAAATATTTATGTTCTTCATCTTTTTTTCCCTAGGTTAAAGCTTATGGTCCAGGACTTGAACCATCAGGACAAATTATTGATAAACCAACAGAATTTACAATTGATACACATAATGCTGGTGAAGCAGCATTACGTGTTCAAGCTATTGATCAAGATTATCAACCAGTTGATGTTCATGTAAGAAATAATGGTAATGGTACATATACTTGTCGTTATACACCAAGAAATCCTAATCGTCATTGTATATTAATTGATTATGGTGGTGTTGCTATACCACATAGTCCATTTCGAGTAATATTTTTTTTGTTAAAAAATTAAATTAAATTAAAATACTCAAAAAAAAAATAAAAATTTCAGGTTTGGCCATCAGAACCATCAAATCCATCCAAAGTTCGTGTTTATGGTCCTGGTGTTGAACGTGGTGTTAAAATGAATACTCCAACACAATTTACTGTTGATTGTAAAGAAGCAGGACCAGGTAAAAAAAGAAATGTCTGAATATATGATTTTTTTTTTTGTTGTCTTTGTTATGATTGCTATTTCTTTTCACTTTATACTAATACTACTTAATTCACTTATAATAATGCATGATTAATTAACTTTATTTGCATGTTAGTGATTTCTACTAATCTCAATCATCGTTTTCGTTCACTTGATTCGCTCGATATTGATAAATGTGACGATGATATCATACCATACAAAATTGATGTACAAGATTTAGATAATGAACAACATTGTTCATATGCTTTACAAAATGATGATACAAATAATTCAATGCATATTACATATAGACCACAAGCACGTAGAACACTTGTGAATGTTGCTGTTGTGTGGTAGACGTTTTTTGTGTTTTTTTTAAACTTGCTTAGCTTGCTTGCTCAGTTTACTAATAAAATATTTAGATTAGGTGTTTAAATCAATAACAAAAAGAATAAAATAAAATAAAATGAATTGATTTATTCATTTCAGGTGATATATCAATTGCTTTAACTGATACAAAAAATCAAGATGTTCCATTTACTATTGATGATAATCAAGATGGAACATTTACTATAGCTTATACAGCAAAATTACCTGGTGTACATTGTATAAGTGTTCTATTTGGCGATAATGAAATACCTATATCACCAATTAAAGTTAATATTGAACCAAGTGTTGATGTAAATAAAATACGTATTGAAGGTCTTGAAACAAGTAAGTTTAAATGTTATTTAGAATTAGAAAATACTAAAAAAAAAAGATTTTCTTTTTTTTTCTGTCTTCTATCTGTATGTTACTAAGTGCAACTCTTTTTTACTTTTTTTTCTCTAAACACACACACACACTCTATTTCTCTCTGTCATACATCGTAGTGCCTATTGTTGGACAACCTGCTCAGGTAATATTAAATACATTAGCAGCTGGTCCATTACCAGCTAATGCAATTCATGCTCGTATTGTTGGACCAAAAGGTAATACACAAGAAGCAATTGTAACACCAGCACCACAAGGTTATAATCTTCGTTTTAATGTACCTGAATCAGGTACATACGTAATCGAACCCGATGTATGTACATTACCCTTACATCCAGTACAAATCACAGCTATTGAACCACTTGATCCGAATAAAGTACGTGCCTATGGACCAGGTCTATCACAGGGTACAGTTAATAAACCAGCTGATTTTATTGTTGATACACGTGGTGCTGGTAATGGTCAATTAGCTGTGACAGTTGAAGGACCATCAGAATCAAAAATTGATTATCAAGATAATAATGATGGTAGTTGTTGTGTTACTTATCATCCGACAGGTAGTTTTATTTTTTTTCTGTTGTCTCATTTATTTTCTCCCGACGTATTATAAAATATAGTTTCTGGTAATTATAATATCAATATATTATATGAAGGAAAACATATCCCTGGTTCACCATTTCGTTCTGCTGTAAGAGCCGATCTTGATACACATTCTATTCGTTGTTATGGACCTGGTCTCGATTCGAACGGTGTGTACAGCTATATGGAAGCAACAACAATATGCATATATATATATATTTAATCATTCGCATTGCATGTCTTAACTTGCCATTAAAATAATATCGCTTGCATGAACTACTTGCTTTTTTTTGTCTCGGATATTTCGTTTGACGTGATTAGATTCGAAATAGAACATAACTAAGCTAATGAAAGAGAAGGAAAGCTTTTTTTAAAATTCATATAAATAGAAATACTCTTCTAGATTTTTTGAGATATTAATATTAATATTTTCTATTTCTGTATTCGAAAATTCATGTAAGAATATAATATTTATTCCATAATAAGTTATGCTTTTGGTGCATGATAGGGTGCTTTATTTTGTTTTTATTCTTTTTTTGTTTTTCTGAAATTTATTTTTCATTTTTCATTTTTTGTAGGAGTATTTCTTGAAAGTCCAACTGATTTTACTGTTGATGCTAAATTAGTAACGGGTAGTGGTTCAGGTCGTGTTGAATGTTTATTAACATCACCAAGTGGTCGTGTTGTACGATGTCCTGTTAAAAATATGTCCGATGGAACATATCTTGTTCAATATGCACCTTATGAACCAGGTCTCATTAATTAGAATAAAGACAAAAAAGAATTTCATAGATATTGTTTGTTTTTTTTTTGTTCTAGGCATGCATCAATTAGAAGTGACCTATGAAAATATTCCTGTTCCTGGTAGTCCATTTCAAGTTAGTGCTGTTCCAGGTTGTGATTCAACACGTGTACGTGCATATGGACCTGGTCTTGAAAATGCAATAACAAATGAACCAACAAGATTTACAATTGAAACAAAAAGTGCTGGACAAGGTAGTCTTGGTTTAGCAATTGAAGGACCATCCGAAGCTAAAATGATTTGTAAAGATAATCAAGATGGTACTTGTATTATGGAATATTTACCTGTAAGAAAAGAAATTTAAAAAGACAAACAAACAAAAGATCCTTGAAATTTGAATTTATGTTTTCTTTTTCTTTTTCTTTTTGACTAGACGAAAGCTGGTCAATATGATATAGCAATTAAATTTTCTGAACATCATATACCAGGTTAGAATTTGACATTTGTTTGCATAATGAAAATTGGATGATTTGTTCTTTCTTTTATTTGATTTCATTATTGTTATTATTGTTATTCTTTTTTAAGGCTCACCATTTCGTGTCAATGTAAATGATCGAGTTGATGCTAATCGTGTTAATGTTAAAATGAATTCAACAATGCGTGCTAATGTTTTACAAGAAATTGTAATTGATGGACTAACAGCTGGACCAGGTAGTCCAACAATTGATATTACTGATATGCATGGTAAGTTTTTTGATTTTACTTTTCTTTATTTCTGCGGTTTTTTTTTTGTTTGATAAAAGAAGAACTATAATTTACTTTCTTCAATAACAATCATTCATGTATTTGTGTATATTTATTTAAAATGCGTTTATTTACGGAGAATAGAGCTATTCATAGAGAAGTATGCCTTTCTCTTTTCTTCTTCTTCTTCTTCTTCATCGATTTCGAATCAAAAAAAGAAAAAGGTAATACGATGAGGTCGATGAAGGAAAACAACATTGTTGTACGTATCGATGGAAAGGTAAAGATGAAGACGCAAAGAACATATATATATATGTTCGAGCTAAAGAGGACGAAAAAAGGAAAGAAAGAAAGCAATAACATATTAATGAAGGACAGACGGAACCACCATTACAATCTAATCGCGTTTCATTAACCTTTTCCTCCTCCTCGTTTGCTTTTTATATTTCATATATTTTAATACATACACATATATATATATATATATATAAATATATATACATTGAGAAGTACGTGCCCGCGTGCCAAAAAATTCTCAACCTTCATCGATTTTGTTCAATCGGAACGTCGATAAATATTCCATCTCATTCTCTTCTCTCTCTGATAAGGTAATTTCGATACACGAGAATAACTTGAGAAGCTTAAATTCCTCGTTTTTTTTTTTTCTATGCATCTCTTCTTTCGATTAAAATGAACAGTATTGTATAAAATTTTTTTTTATTCCTTTTCTTTTTTCATTTTCACATATGAATTTGATTTTCGATTTGTGCAACAAGTACATTTTTTCTTCATCTCTCTCTCTCTCTCTCTCTCTCTCTGTCTCTCTTGCTCCTTGTTTTACTTGAAAAGAGCACACACAACTCTTTCTTTTTTTTTTGTATTATAGGTCGTCGCAAACCGGCTAGTATTCGACCTAGAGGCGAAGGCGTTTACACTGCAGAATTTACTCCACAAGCAGAAGGTTCACATCGTATTGATATTAATTGGAGTGATCAGCCAATACCTCAAAGGTTTTTTTTCTTAGAATCAAAAAAAAATCACGACTTTCGAATTTTATGTATATTTATTTATTATTTAGTCCATTTAACATTAAAGTACTTCCTCATTTTGAACCAAATAAAGTTATTGTTGACGGAGCAGGTATTCGTAACGGTATACCAGCATCACTTGAAACAAGTTTTCGTATTGATACACGTGAAGCTGGTTTTGAACAACCTGACGTTTCAATTAAAGTAAGAAAAAGAAAATTATTATTACTTTTTTTTTCCTAAAAAAATAATTGTTTTTTTTTTTTAGAATCCCGAAGGTCTTTTAACATCATCGAAAATTATTGATAATAAAGATGGAACCTATAAGGTAACATATAAACCGAATGATGTTGGCCGTTATATAATTAATGTTAATTATGGTGGTATTCCGGTTCATAATTCTCCATTCAACGTGAAAGTGGAACCAACCGGAGATCCAACGAAATGCCATATTTCGGGTATAATTATTTAGAAATTTTCGTTTTTTTTTTTTTTTTTAATAGCATATATTTACAATTCTAGGCAGTGGCATTAATCCTAATGTTCAAGTAGGTGAAGAATATAAAATAACTGTTGATACACATGATGCCGGCCCGGGCGCAGTAACATGCCGTATACGTTCAACACTTGGCAATGATCTTGATATTGATATTGTTGATAATCAAGATGGAACATATAATTTATTCTATACACCACATAATCCAGGAAATTATGTTATTAAAATAAAATTTGGTGGACAAGATATTCCAGGTGGTGATTTTGTCATAACGGTATGTTTAAAAAAAAAAAGAAAACAAAATCTCTTATTGCCACCGCCTCCGTTCTTTCCTTTTTTTTTACTAACAAGTATGTTTCTTCAATAAATTAACATCCTACTTAGACTTCTTCGTCTATGGTAGACATAGTTGTAAAAAAAAAAAGAAATAGAGAATAAGACGATGGCTCGAAATTCGATTTTATATTACTTGTCTTGTATTTCTTCTTCTTCGTCTTCTTATAGGGTACAACAAATCTTAGGGTATGCTTATATTTAAAGCTCATTATCTCACATAAGTGTCAAACTAATCAATAAATAGGTCAAGATTACAGAATAAAAATATTTATAATAGATAAAAAAAAAAAAACAACAACACGATAGAGAATTTCTATTATCATTTCTGGACACGATTTCGAGTTCAATATTGCTATTGTCATGTTTCATATGTTAGTCTGCTTCTTCTTCTTCTTCTTGCTTTTTGTAAATTTTCTAAATAATATTTTATATTCATTTATTTACTTTGTTTGTTTACAAAGGCGGGTGATACACAACAATATATTCGAACACTACAAACAGAATCTATTACAACAAGTCAATATCGACCTGTCGATTTTCGTTTACCTGTTGGTGGTGGTAAACTTAGTGATATTACTGGTATGAATTTTGGAAAGAATAGATTTTTTTTCTTCGTCTTCTCTTTCTCTTTTATATTTTATGTATGTATTGATAGGAATTTTTTTTAAAAGTATGTGCGCTTCCGGTGCTCGTTGTTCTTCATATAAACAGTATGAAAAAAAAATGAAAGCAAGAGAGAGAGAGAGAGAAAGAAAGATCGAATAAGGCTTTATTGAACGTTGATGCGATGAACATTATTCACAGGTAAACAGCCGGAGAGAAAGCAATAGTTACGCATATTTGATTGAGTTTAATATACTACACACATACATACATACATACATATATATATACATGTAAGACTTTTAGATGGATTTTCAAGGTATTAATTATTATAATATTATTGAAAAAAATTCTTTTTTTTTTTCTTTTAGCATTAATACGAACACCAACAGGTAAATTTCATACCCCGCTTATTGATGATAATCAAGATGGAACTGTTTCAATAAAATATCAACCATCAGAAATTGGTTTACATGAATTAGATGTATTCTATCAAGGACAACCAATAGCTGGTTCACCATTTAAATTTCATGTTGATCAAGTTCAAACAGGTTATGTTACAGCATATGGACCTGGTCTTAGTCATGGTGTTTGTAATGAATCAAGTAGCTTTCGTATTATAACTAAAGATGCTGGTTCAGGTGGTTTATCAGTTGCTGTTGAAGGAAGTTCAAAAGCTGAAATACAATGTAAAGATAATAAAGATGGTACATGTGATGTTACTTATTGGCCGGTAATTTAAAATTTCAAGCAATTTTCAAAATATTGAATTCGTTTTTTTTTTTGTTTTTTTTCTTTAAGACTGCACCAGGTGAATATACAATAACTGTTAAATTTGCTGATAAACATATTGTTGGTTCACCATTTACTGCTAAAGTAACTGGTTCACCAGTATTAGTTGAAAATAATAAACGTTCACAAGTTATGGTTGGAAATCAAAGTGAAATAAGTTTACGTGTAACTGAAATCGATATACATGATTTAAATGCAACAATACGTTCACCAAGTGGTTTAGAAGATGTATGTTTATTAAAAAAATTATCTAATGGAAGTCTTGGTATATCATTTATACCAAAAGAAATTGGTGATCATTTAGTAAATGTTTATCGTGATGGTAAACATATTAAAAATAGTCCATTTCGTATACATGTTGGTTCATCTGAAATTGGTGATGCTAATAAAGTTAGAGTATTTGGACGAGGTTTAAAAGAAGGTAAATACATTAAAAAAAGAAAACAAAGGACATGTTAAAAATTTCTTATTATTGAAAAAAAACAAAATTAATTCATTTAGGTTATGCTAATCAAATAAATGATTTTACTGTTGTTACACGTGATGCTGGTTAGTTAAAATAAAAATAAAAGAAGAAGAAAAAAAAACAAGTTTTTTTAACTCTTTTTTTTTTTTTTAATTTCATTAGGTTATGGTGGTTTATCATTATCAATTGAAGGACCATCAAAAGCCGATATTGAATGTCATGATAATGAAGATGGTTCATGTCTTGTTACATTTAGACCAACCGAACCTGGTATTTATATTGTTAATGTTAAATTTGCTGATAAACATGTACCTGGTTAGTACGCAAAAAACAAAATACAAAAAAAAATAGAAAACGAAAAGATTTTCTTTATTAAATTATATTTATTTTATTTAGGTAGTCCATTTACAGTTAGTGTTGGCGGTAGTGGATCAAGTCGACTTCGTGAAAGTATTATACGTGAACGTCGTGCTGTTGATATCACACATATTGGTAGTCAATGTGAATTATCTCTTAAAATTCCTGGTATGAAAACAAAAGAATTTAATTGAATAACAAATACTAAAAAAATTTTTTAATATTTAGGTACTTCATCATTTGATATGAGTGCTTATGTTACAAGCCCAACAGGACGTTTAGAAAATTGTGAAATTGTGTAAGTAGAATTTAAAATTGATATTTTACAAAACAAAAAAAAAAAAGTTAAAGATAGAAATTTCATTTTTTTTTCTTATCTTATTCTAGTGAACTTGATGATTGTAATTATTCAATTAAATTTATTCCAAAAGAAATGGGTGTTCATACTGTTAGTGTTAAACATAAAGATATGCATATACCTGGAAGTCCATTTGGTAATATTAAAAATATTATTTATTAATATGTATATACGAGATAAATTATTTTATTTAGAATTTACTGTTGGTCCAATACTAGGTGGTGGTGCTCATAAAGTTCGTGCTAGTGGTAATGGTCTTATGCGTGGTGAAGTTAATTCAACAAGTATGAACTGAAAAGAAAAAAAAAAGAAGTTTTTGTGAAACACGATCTAAAAGGAGTTTAGAAATGTATATCGGATAGAAATTTGCATACCTCTGACAGACGCTAGTTCGAGACTATCACATACTGTATATTAACTATTTTCTTATTGTATTTTTTTGAGAATTAAGTAAAGAGAAGACGAAGAAATATGTTCGAAGAATTTCTCTGTGATTATAGTCATAGCAACTACATCGTGTTTCACGTTTTAATCTCATAAGAATTGTACTAATAGGTTTTTTTTTTCTAATATATTTTAGATGAATTTAATATTTATACACGTGAAGCAGGTGCGGGTGGTTTAGCTATTGCTGTTGAAGGTCCAGCTAAAGCTGAAATAGATTTTTTTGATCGTAAAGATGGTTCATGTGGTGTATCTTATGTATGTCCAGAAGCAGGTGAATATCAAATTTCAATTAAATTTAATGATGAACATATACCTGATTCACCATTTAATATTTCAATTGCACCACCATTTGGTGATGCAAAAAAACTTACAATACATAGTCTTAAAACAAAAGGTCTTGATGTAAATCGACAATATACATTTACTGTTAATGTTAATGGTGCACGTGGTCATGTTGATGCTCGTATAACAGCACCAAGTGGAGTAGAAGAAGCATGTATTGTACAAGATATGGGTGATGATCATTATGCTATTCGATTTGTACCTAAAGAAAATGGTATTCATTGGATACATGTTCGTTTTAATGGACGTGATATACCTGATTCACCATTTCGTATTGTTGTTGGTCAAGCTAATGCTGATCCAGGTCGTGTATTTGCTTCTGGTTCTGGTTTATATCAAGGAGAAACTAGTAAATATTACGAAAATTTATATATATTTATTTTAGTTTGAATTAAAAAAAAATTTTTTTTTTTGAAGGTAAACCATGTGAATTTTTAATTGATACAACAAATGCTGGTGCTGGTGCATTAGCTGTTACAGTTGATGGACCATCAAAAGTTCAACTTGATTGTAGAGAAGTAACTGAAGGTAAATTTATTTCAATATTATTTTTTGTTTTTTAGAATTATTTATTTAAAACTTTAATTTTTTTTTCTAGGTTATCGTGTTACATTTACACCAACAGCACCTGGAGATTATCTTATTTCAATTAAATTTGCTGGTATTAATATTGCTGGTAGTCCATTTAAATGTACAGTCGGAGGTAATATTATTGATTATATTAGTTTTATGAAATACGATCTAAGACAGAATGTTAAAGTATGGCGATAGAAACTGAGACTCCACCCTCTTCATATACAAACGTGACAAACATCATAGCAACGAATAATCACACATTACATATGAATAAAATGTCTTAATATAATATATAATCTATTGTCTTATTATATTTCTGAAAGATGGTTAAGAAACATGTCCCAAAATAGATAGAATAAAACAATCTTCCTATGATTAGTAATTATAGTTACATCATGTTTCATATTTTAATACTGCATGGATTGTGTGCTAATAGTATTTTTTTTTTTCTCTTTTGTTAATTAAAATTTAGGAACTGGATATCCACTAAGTCGTGGAAGTGGTGGTCTAACAACAACGACATCATCATCATCATATGTACAACGTTCAGACGGAAAAATAACAAGTCAAACAAGATATGATACTGTTGAAAAATCAACATCATATTCATCGAGTTCAAGAAATACTAATTATGCTATTGTTGATGCAAGTCGAGTAAAAGCACATGGTGATGGTTTAGAACGAGCTTTTAGAAATGAAAAAGCAACGTTTACTGTTGATACACGTGATAGTGGTAAGTTAAATGTTTTGACTAAATAAATTTATTTTGAACCTTGTCTTTTTCTTAAAAAAAAAAAGGAAATGCTATGTTAATGGTGGGTGTATTTGGTCCAAAACATCCATGTGAAGAAGTATTTATAAAACATATTGGAAATAATCAATATAATGTTCAATATGTAAGAATAATATTTGATAGTGTGCTTTTGTTATTTGAATAAATTTATTTTTTTTTGTATTTTCCTTTTCTTTTTTTATTTTGTTTTTAGACTGTTCGAGAGAAGGGTGAATATATGTTGATTGTTAAATGGGGTGATCAACATATTCCAGGTTCTCCATGGCACATTGAAGTTGTTTAAAATCAAAACATGAACTATATATCCCTTGAGAAAGAGAGCATCGAACAATCTTCTCTTATTTATATGCATATATGCTAGAGAATTTCTTTTTTTTTTTTTATTTTTCCTTTGTCTTCTTTTCTTTTTTTTTTGTTTTGAATTATCATTCAACTGAGTAGTTTTGTTATATTCTCTTTGTATGTATGCGCATGCTCAAACTACTTGTGTTTTTATCATTATTATTATTACTATTATTATTATTATTATTAGTCAAGGTGCTATGATGTGTGAAATGAGTTAGAAAAGAAAAATAAAAATCAGCAGTGGTCTCGTTTCTACATCTATTTGTTTGGTTTACCTCATATCCGTTTCTTTTTCTTTATAGCTGCTTGTACGTTTCATTTTTTTTTCTACTTTTACTTTTAAAAAAGAGAAAACTACCTTCATCTTAATATATATATATACATATACATATATTCATATAGGTAAATATGATGTTGGAACCTTGTTTATTATGAACTTTTCCTTGTTTTTTTTTTTTGTCTTCATAGTTTTGGATAAATAAAAAGTTGCTTCTTCGTGTTTTCGATTTGCTTTGTTTTTTTTTTCATGTTCGTTTTCTTTGTTTTTTTCTTATGTATTTTTTTTTCTATTAAAAAAAGGATTTTTATGAACATGCTGAAAAAAGATTTGCAAATTTCTTTTTTTTTTTTTTTTTGTTAATGAACAAAGTAATAACAATATTCCTGTGTATATTCAGTCAATATTCTGATTGATTAGGATGTTCCTATTTCCTTGGTAAAAATATCTTTATAATCATTGAACTTAATTATGTCTAAGTTTGCAGACATTTTTTATTTTTTATTGACAATCTCGACATTGAATCAATATAGAAGCAAAATTCAGTGTTAAAGAAAGAAAAAAAAAATGAAGAGAATAAATGGTGAGAGTTTATATTATGGAAAATCTACAAATGCAATAGAGTATATGAGTAAATTCATCTGTAGCTATCTCATCCGTTATTTCCGGCGAGAACTATTGAAGAAAATTGGATTTCATTCTTTCTCTTTTTGCGCTTTTTTGCTTCCTTATCTAGCTGTATTTTTCCGCCAAAATATGAGGCCTAGATATCTAGATGATTTTTCCTTTTGCTCATTTTTCTTCTTCAACTAACAGAATATAAAATCATTCATCGAGTAAATTTTGCATTTCATTATTGTAATAAATATGCATTCATCATTATTTCGAAAGCATCTTCATGAAAGATATTGTTCATTACCATCAAATTTAGAACAAACAACATCATCATGTCCATCAACACCTCCTATGTCAACATCATGGATCGAACCTCCACAATTTGTTTTATGTCTAATGACTAATGAACATCGTAAAGAAGTTTTTGATCTTGTTATTGATACATTTTTTCGTGATGAACCATTAAATAAATGTTTAGCATTTGAAATACCTCATGAACCAATTGAATTTACTGAACTTATTGTTTCACTTGCATTACAAGATCAATGTTCATTTGTTGCTATTGATATTCAAACACAAAAAATTATTGGTGTTATATTAAATATAATAAAACATAATTTATCAACAACAAAAATTGATAATCAAGATAAATTTGATTTAAATAATTTTCAATCAGAAAAATTACGTTATATATTAAATGTTCTTAAACATGTTCATCGTAATATTAATTTATTTAATGAATTAAATACAGATCATCTTTTACATACAGTTATTGTTGCTATTGATGCACATTATCGTGGTTTAAAATTAACAGAAAAATTAATTCATGAAAGTATAATACATGCTAAAAATGATTTAAATTTAAAAGGTGCATTTTCAGAAGCAACAAGTCTTTATTCATCAAAAGCATTTATTAAACAAGGTTATCAAATATATGATGAAATTATTTATACTAAATATGATGATATACGTTTAGCAAGTCTAGCTGGAGAACATGATCGATGTCAATTACTTGGTAAAACCTTGTAAAAACAACAACAACAACAAACAATTTTTTCTCTTTGCATCATTGTACATATATATATATTGATATTGTATATTTTAATAAAAGAAGAGAAGAACAAAAAAAAAAAAAACTTTTTTTCTCTTATCTGTTCTTTTATAATTGTTATATGTACTTGTCGTATGTCCGTGTCAATATATGCATGGCAAAAAAAAAAGATGATGGTCTCGGTTCAACGATTCGCTTGATTACAGTGTGATATGTAAATATGTGTATGTAGATATGCAATGCAAAAAAATAAAAATAGTGTTTATAGAATACTTCCCAATATGGCATCTACTATTGTTGTCGATTCAATAATCAATGATATTAATCATAATAATGAAACAATTGATATTTCATTATTACCATCAACAATTACAACAGAAAAAAAATTAACAATAAATGAACCATCAATAATAAAAAATCGTTTACATAATGTATCATCATCTTCACATAACAATGAGATTGTAACTGTTTTTCCTATACCAATGAAAACATCATGTCATTTTAGTGTACATGGTGGTGGAGTATTAAATGTAGGTACAATTAATTATATTCGTTTTCATCGTGCACGTCGTTTAGCTTTTTGTTGTTGTGTTATATCATTTTTACTTGATATTAGTCTTGGTTTAACAGCATTTATTAATTGTATAAGATCGAAAACTTTCGTTGGATTTTCATATTCTGTTGATACATTAATCGATGCATTATGTACAGGTTTTGTATCATGGCATTTAAAAACAACATCAATTAGTGATATGCGTCGTCGTGATAGACTTGCTTGTTGTGTTATTGGTGCATTATTTATTGGTTCATTTCTTGCTATTGAATCTCGTGCTATACAAAGTATGATATTAGCAAAAACTGTTCGACCTGATGTTATTGTTTTTATGTATTCATTAATACATATTATTGTATTTACAATTTTATCAATAATAAAAATATTTATTAGTAAACAAATTAAATCTTCAGCATTAATGGCTGATGCATTAAATTCTATAATTGGACTTATTATGTCATTTCCATTATTATTTTGGGATCGTGTAACATTTTTAAATAAATTTGCACATCTTGATGATCTTGTACAAGTTTTAATGGCATTATTTTTATTTATTGCTGGATGGAAATTAATATTAGATTCAATAACATCAATGAATGCTGAATATGCAAGACATTTACGTGAAAAAAAATTACGACGAATGTTAAAAGAACATAATGAAGAAATTGATTTAGATTTTGAAAATGTTGATACGGATAATCCTCATTTATCTATAGCACCAATTCCTGGTTCACGACGTTTTTCTGTTATATCAAATCAGTAATGACAATAGAAACAAAGAATTTTGTTAATCAAATTTTCTTTTTTTCTCTTTCTCTTATGAAAAAATTTAGGATAAATTTCGAAGTAGAATTTTAGAATATGATTTTATATAATGTATTATATTTATCTCTTTGATAATCTTAGTATTAAACGTACATTAAACTAACATGCAAAGGAAAAACTAATAAATATGAGAAGAGAAAAGAAAAATTAGAACTATGAGAAACTTTTCGAATATTCTGCAAAAAATAGAAATTACTATTTATCTAGCAGTACAACAGAATCCTTAATGCCGTGCACAGTTATTCATCTTGTAATTAATACAAACATATCTATTGTACAGAACAAAATCGTTTTTGATCTTCTCAAACAATTAATAATTAATTTAAATATAAAACGAATAATCACATGACAAAAAAAGGAAGTACAAATGTAGAAAATAGCACTCGTCGTAAAGATGTTGACGAAATTCTACTAAATCATATTGAGTCGACTAGTCCAATTTGTAAGCCGTATTCGAAAATGAGTTTCTCCAATGACATATCCTCATCCTAACTTGTTTGTTATCCAGTACCCTAGATACTACTTACGTAAATAATGAGATCTATCCGATAGTGTGACTTTCATATCATTATTTTCAATCTCACATTTCTAATTAGATATGCGGCTAACTAAGAAAATTGTAAAAAACACAAAAAAAAAGAGTTTTGTAAGAATAAGGTTTCATGTATTAGTAAATAAGAGTATGTTCTATAAATTTTATTATATCACAACAAAAAAAATAATAAAGATGTATTTGAATATCAGAATTTGATTAAAGATGACTAAGATAGTAATATAAATATTGATTATAAGATTTTTGTTTTCGTACTAAAATTAATGATGTCATTGAGTGTATATAGATTCAATCTACTTCAAGAAATCTGATCTCCGGAGATAAATATACTCAACGTTATTATACGAAGAAACCTAATCTTTGTAAGTTCATATTTCATAATCAAAAACCTAGAAACAGAATTCTTCTGAGACAAAAATTCTCAAGTGTTAGCCCTCGATCATGTTCATAGTTTATCCATATGTAGTATTTGGTAAGACTAATAAAAACCAACCAGTAAGTCTCACTGTTATTGAATTACTATGAAAGTTTCTCTTGAAAAGTATGATTCCTTCTCGAAATATTCAATGATCAAAAGAGTTAATGTTTTGATCTTAATTTCACGTGAAAATCTATGTCTTACAACTTTTGATCAGCCGATTTGCAGAAGGTCAAAAATTCACTTTAAACCATTATAAATCCAAAAGAACAAGGCATAAGTTCCTTTTCGCTTCCACTAATCTCATCGAGTACTATACTATGAACAAACTACGAATGCGATCATTAGACAACAGCTATAGAAATTTGTAGATAATTCTTTGAAAATGTTTCGATTTTCACTAGTCAATATTTTTTGGAATTATATTCAAAAACAACAAATATTAATCTTATTTGTTAATGTTTAAGGAAATATATTTTCTTTTTATTTTCACAGAATGTTAATATCAATCAAAAAAAAAAGATACAACTAATAGATAACAACAGCAAAAAAAAAGAAAAAAAAAAGAATAAATACAGATCATAAATTAAGCATGTCATCTAATCGTTTATCTATATTACAAAAATGTTTAATAATTTTTCGAAAAATTTCTCGTTGATCTTGATTTAATTGTGTAAATACAGATGTATTATTATCTATTGTTTTTGATGAATCTTGTTTAATACCACGATAGAAAAGTTCAAGAAATAGTTCATCAACAAGTGTATATGATGTTATTACTAAATCTTCACTAGTTGATCGATCAGAATCAACTTTTGTTGTTGTTGATTGAACTTCTGTTTCATCATCCCAATCAATATTTGTTGATGAATTTTGACTTTTTAATAAACTATCATCATCACCTAATCAACAAGAAAAAAAAAAATTCTACTGTTGTTTTTTTTTTTTGTTTGTTTGAATTGAGAAGAAGAGATAGATAAAATATTTAATGAACTTTATGAAAACAATATAAAAGAGAAAGTTTATAATAGATTTTAGATTAGTGATCGTATGTAATATTCTTATTGCAGCAGTAAACAAAAAAAAAAAATCAATTTTTTAATATTCACAATCGAATTGCAAACAGTATTCTAATGTGTTCATATTGACTTAGTTCTTTGGATTTTTCCTATGTATTATAAATGAAATAGCTACTGTCTGCGCTTATTATATTCGAAAAGAGTAAATAAGACTGATTCTGATAAATTCTATTTGACTTTTCTTTAATATTAAGTATAGAAATTATTTCAAAATTTTTATAAATATTCTAATTGAAAACGTTTTTTTATTTTTATTTTTGACAAACCTGTTTTTCCATTTGTATCAAAATCATCAATATCTTTTCGTTTATTTGATGAATGAGATTGTGTTCTTGATCTTTGTCTACGTATCATATGTTTTTGATGTTCACGTCTTTGTCTATCTTTATAACATGTATGTCCAATAATAATAAAATATTCTAATAATTGTTTATTAATTATATTTAAACCATGTTTATAAAGAAAAAAATTACATATTGATATACATGATAATAATAAAACACTACGTATTTGTACAATATCATCATGTACTAAACGATTAAGTATATTTTCAATAAGTTTCATTATTGTTTGACAATGTTCATTTAACATATCAATAAAATATTCATGTGTTGTATAAATTTGTAAACAATTAAATAAATTTTCTAATATATTATTTATTGTTATTGTTTCATTTTCAATTAATGCACTTATAGCTGTTGTTATTGATGTTAAAAATAAATAAAATACTTCTGTTTGTTCATTATTATCAAATAAATTACATTCATCTAATAAAACACGTAATAAAAGACTACATTGTTCAAGTAAATCTTTATTATAACATGATTGTAATATAAAACATAATGGTTCATATGTTAATTGTATATGTTCTAACATTAATAAACGTGTATCTTGTCGTACAATTAATGTATATATTAAACGAAATAATTGTACAAGTGTTGGACAAGCAGAATAATCATCACTTGTTAATATTGATAATATTGTTGATAAAAGATTTGTATGTTGTATTATACATAAAGCAACACTTATTGTTTGATTATCTTGTATAATATTACGTTTACAACAAGCCATATTTGATAATATACCAAGTACAATTTCTGTACAACGTTTATCTTTAGATTGAATAAGTACAACATTAAATAAATCAAGTGAATTAAATTCAATTAATAAATGTGCAACATCAGCACTCATGCTTACATCCCATAATTCACATAATTCAGATTCAAATGTTTCATCTAATTCTTGTTTTTTATTAGAATTTGTTAATACATATTCATCACCTTGTTGACGAATAGTTGAAAATATTTCATCGTGAATTTGTTCGGGAGCAACAAACTAAAAGAATGAAAAAAATTTAATTTTAGAAAAAAAAAAACAACAAACTATTAGCATAATTCTTATGGAATGAAAATACGATATGACTACTGGAGATATGGAATAAAGATGTACTTCATCTGTTAGAACAAGATGTTATTGATATACGGTCTATGATCATATATCAACAATATCATTAAGGTGAAGAAGAATGAATCCAAATTTCTATTTTTATACTTCAACATTCCGTTTAGATCGTATTTTATAAAAAAAAAAAAAAATTCTTTTCTTTACTTGAATTAGTTTAAGTAAGACTTGACAAAACCATGATTTAGAATACATTTCATCACCAACCATATCAGCTCGACTAAGATTATCAATAGGTGGTGGTGAAGGATTTCGACCAATAGTAGGTGATGATGATGATGATTGTGGTGGTAGATTTTGAGAATGATTTGAAATCTGACGATGAGATGAATGCATTGGTGGCGTAGAATCAAGTTGATATTGTTGACTAGGTGTATCATGATCACTTGTTGAACGAAATGACTTGAGAAAAAAAAATTAACAACAACAACAACAATAGAATTTTTCTTGAATAACAATAAAAAATAAATCAAATAAAACAAAAAACATACAGAAAACGATCCAGGATCGTTATTTGGTGTTGGAATATTTTCTGTTGATGTCATCGTAAGATGTATCTAAAAGAAACAAGTTAAAAACGATTGAAGGTGTTTTTCTTTTCGTTTCATCGTTTTTTTAATTCTTTTTTTTTTTCTCTGTTTATTTGTCATCAACAGTCTTTTTATTGATAACCAATTCAGGATAACCACTTGCAGGATCCATTTCTCTAGTAAAGGTTACATTTTCACATTCAGCCAAAACAATTTCAACAGTAGTAAAAACAGTCATTGGATGATCATCCATAACATGACCACCTATAACTCGTCCAGTTCGATCAGAAAATGATCCATGTATATGTTGTCCTTCACTATCTAATGTTCCAACTAAACTAACAATTTCATGTGGTGTATTCAAATCTATTACATCAGTTGTACTAGCCATACGTAATCGAATTGCTTTTACACTACCGACACAAGTCATAATAAATACTGATTTTAATCCATTTTTGTTCATCAATGTTCGTATATTTGATAGAACATCCATATCAGGTGATAAACGCAATGGATATACCCGTATTGAAGTTGGAATCAATTGTAAATTGCTCCAAGATGACATGATAAATAAATAAATAAATATAAATATAAATATAAATATATATTTATATATATATTAATCTCAAGTAAAAAAAGACATTGCAAACAAGCAGAAAACAAAATAATAATCAATTTAAAAATTTTAATAATGATAGATATGTTAACTTTGTTTTATTTCTCATACTTTTTTTTTTATCCTTTATAAACCTATTTACATAAACAGCATCTGAAAGATGACAACAACAAAAAAAAAAAAAAAAAAAAAAGAATGTTGATTTTTCTTATGTCAATTTTTGTTATTGTTATTATCTGTTCATTCTTTTCGTGGTTGTGTTATTTCTTTTCGTGTTGCTTCTTGTAATAATTGTGTATCAACATCATCCGGTGGTAATTGTATATAACGTATAACAGAACCACGTACAAATGCTGATGTAACCGATTGTATATGAGGATATTTTTCTGGATCAAGTACTTGTACATCAGTTAATTTAACATTTAAATATTGATCAACACTATGTAATGTACCAGATATTGATAAATCATTTTTTAATTCAATAACAACATCTTTGCCAACAAGGGATTTAAAAAATGAATAGAATAACATATCTATAAAAAAAAAAGAAAGAAAACGAAATGACAAGACACAATATGAGAATTTTTTTTTTTTTTTTAATGCAAAACAAAAAAAAAAACTTTTTTTCAAGGTTAAAAATGCTAGGCTATACAAATTATTTTATTTTAAGAACGATTAAAACGATTTCCTTCGCCATGTCGATGATCATCTTTAAATTCATCCATTGATCGTAAATATTTTAACATATCTGGATTATCTTTTTCGGTATATGACTCTTTAGCAATATCTTCTTTTTCAGCATCACTTGCCGTTGGAAATTTAGGACCTATAAAATAAATAACAAAAAAAATTCATATGAATTATTCTTTTCTTTTTTTTTTGTTTTTAATGTATATTAAATATACCAGCATTCATTTGTTTGACTTGTTCAGGTGTTGGTGCAAGACCACGTTGAGTAAGACTTTGATAAAATTCATCAATTGTCATTGTAGATATACTTGGATAACCAGCACCAATTACTTTTGCTTGTAATTGATCACGTGTAATTATCATTGGTTTTAAAGGACGTGATGGTGATTTACGTTCCGATCGTTTATGAATTTCTTCATCATTTGTTGATTCTATTGATTGACGTTGAAGTAAAACTCGAAGTTCATCTAGATAAGAATAACGTTGAAAGAAAAAAAAAGAATTTATTTATATCGAAATATTTACCATATAAATAATCAAGATCATCAAATGCTGTATTAATCCACCAATGAATTTTACTTAAATAAAAACTACGTTTAGCTTCTTCATCAGTTAAATCATGTTTCATTGCTTCTTCAAATGCTTTCATAGATTCTTCTTCTTCACGACGTTTTAAATGACTAAATTTAATATAAAGAAGAAAAAAAAACAAAATAAAAGTTTTTTTTTTTTCAAATAATTAAAAATCTGACGAAGGAATCTTAATCACTTTTAAATCGGGATTATTTGTATCAGATCAATTTTGATGAGCTATGAATACTCTGAAAAGAGCTCGGATTCTTAGTTTCAGATTTATTGATTTGTAGATCGTAGATTAGAAACAACGAAAAGATTTGAAACTTTCACAATAAACTATTATGTCTTTGTGAAAAATCAGCTTTTCTAATTTTTCTAATACGAACCACAATGTGTATTATTAATTTTTTTCGCTGTTAATATCTCATAAAGGATACAGATGGAATAGTATGACAATTCGTCAATCCAGTGTTAGTATTGACTTCAGATCGGTTCTATCTTAAAATATAACGTAAAACTTCAATAACTTTGAGAACAAATAACACATACAGTTTTCGTCATATTATGATCTCTATTATTAGCAAAGAATGTATAGATAATTTTTAAAGTCATAAAATAAACATTACTACAAACATGAAATTTTGTCATTACATCAATCTCGAAAATATCTCAAATCAAAAAAAAAGCAGCCTTGCATTAGTACTTCAAAATACCTCATTGAGATTTTAAATTACCAGAAATTAATCCTATTTTCTTCATATAATTAAAGTAAATAATGCTCTATTACGAGTCTAAACGATATGTTTCTTTTTTTTATTTTTAAAACGAATTCAAAATTTTCTCTTGATAGATCTTTTTTTTCTTTAATGTTAAATTTAAATATATATAATCACCCTCGAATTTTTGATGCACGATCTTGTGCCATTTGCATCATATCAACATTACGACTTGATAATTGTTCTGTTTTTTCACATTCTTGATTTGTTGGTATTTTTGGTATAGAATATTTATGTAAATCATAATTTTTTGTCATTGTTAAAAATTTTAAATAATAATCACATGCATGTTGTACATTAACAAGTCGTTGTGATGGTTTTGAACGTTTTGTTTGATATAACCAAGCAAGAAATGCATAGAGAAGTAAATAACGTATATTTATTGTTGATACTTCATCAATATGTTCATTATCACTAAATAATTCAAGTGATATAAGACGTTTTTCTAATGATTCAAGTAAACGTATTGTATGAAGAAGTTTACTTGAATAATCATCTGTTGTTGTATTAACTGATGAACTTTGTAAATCATTTTGATTTGACCATGCTATATCAAATAATTGTGAAAATGTATGTGATTCATCATTCTTATTATCATTATCATTATCATTTAATATTAAATGTTTATGTATATCATTATGAGAAATTTCTTTTATATTTGATGAATTTATTTCATTTGTATTTGATGATAATGATGATTCAGTAGAATGACAATGTGAACTACAACAATTATGATCTGCCATTAATTAAAATCTGAAATATTGAAAACAAGAAATTTTTCTTTTCTCAATGGATAATAATATTTTCTTTTTTTTTCTTTTTGTTTTTATCCAAATATCGGAAACAACAAATAACAAAAAACAAAACAAACAATTATATATATATATTAAGTTAAATTTTTTAATGCACATTCAGTATTAAAACGTTTTAATTCATCAGATTCAAGTATATGAAGTGCACGTGAATGTATACGAGATATAGTAATAAAATCAAGTGATTGATGTTGTTTTGAATAATCCAAATAAGCAAGCCAAAGATCTTAGCAAAAAGAAAATTTTCAAAAATCTTTTTTTTTTGTTTTGCTTTCTTACCAGCTGATGTTTTACCAAAATAAATAATAGCTTGTTCAAATGCAGTTTTAATACGTTTATGATCAATATTTGATAATGATTGTTCTATTTTAATATAATCCATATAGAATGGTAATGAAGCTGGTATTCGACATGATAATCTAAAATAATCAAAAAGAAATTTATAATAAGAAATATTTAAAAAAAAAAAGAAATTTCTACTTGTCAAATAATTGTCGAATTTGTTTTATTGATTTGTTTTGATTAACCCATTGTAAATATTTTGATTTTAATTGTAATGTTACAGAAAGATCAAATGATTCCATTTGAGATTGCTAGAATAATTTAATGATTATTATAAGAAACAATCATATATTAATCAATAGCACAAAATATATCATTCATTTCTTAACTACTGGTTAGACTTTTTCATTCTTTTCGAGTATGTGTTCAGAATTTCTTTCTGAAGTACTTCCGGAGAAGAAATTTGACACTCAAGGTCAGTCCGATTTTCGGAAAGACATCGTACTCTTGGCTTCCATGCTGGATAAAATACTGGTTGGACAGAATATTATTATATTTCGACTGAAACCTATCAAATTCAAAATGCGAAATAGTCTTTAATGACTCAATTCTGTTGAGCAAAGTTTATTCTATAAAGCGTGCTGTTTAGTTTTGTATTTTTAGAAGCAATCGTTTAAAATAGCATTATTTTTTTTTCTAATGCTAATTTCTATCAAAATTAGTTCTTTGGTAGAGATACATAAATGAGATCTCGCTTATTGTAATATTTCATTTTGTACAGAATTCAGTAATATTGAATTGAAGGTTGTCCAAGACACAAACTAAGGAAATCTTATCTGTAAAGGAAAATCTGAACCCATATTCAGCAAGAACAAAATAGTTTGATTATTTCTGCTCTAATCAGTGGCCGAAAAATGAGCGAATATATTGCGTTAGGACTTTCGCACTATTGGCTAGTTTTTTTATTTTATTTTTACTTCGAATAATTCTTCTGTCCATTTATGATCATTTTCTTGTGCATAATCAATTATAGTATTCCATATTAGAGAAGATTTCTTAAAAAATAAAAGATTTTAAGGTAATACTTGAAAGTTTTAATATGAAGAATATTTTACTTTGACATCTGAATTTCCACAAGCAAGTTTAAATTCTTTTTTTATTGTTTTGCAATCAACAGATTCTTCAATTAATAATGATAAACGTTTATTCCATAGAGAAGCATCATTTGGATAATGATCAGTTGCTTTTTTAATAATAACTTTTGCTCGATTATTATCAACTATTGATACCTACAGAAGAAAAAATAAATATAAAAGGAATCAAAAAACAAAAAAAAAAATTCTTGTATCTTACCCATTCTAAATAATGTTCAGATGTTAAAGAAATCTGTTCACTTGCCAATGAGAATATTCGATCACAGATAGAAATATGCTAAATAAATTGAAAGAACATATTACTATTATGTAAATAATTTAATTAATAAATGAAATAATTATTAACATAGTTTACTCATTTATCATTCATTGAATTGATCTTGAAAATAAAATTTTTCTTTTTTACAAAAGAAAAGTATTTACCTCAGTTTTATTTGAATCTGATGCTTGACTAAGACGTTGAACACAAAAATCAAGATATAAATTCCATAATTCATCTAAAAAAAAAGAAAACACTTCATTATAAAAAAAAAAAAATCTCTATATAATTAAAATAAAAATATTTACTCTTATCAACTATTGAATTATTTAATTGTTGTTCATAATTTTCTCTAACTTGTTGTTCAAGTATAGCAATCATAAAAGCTAAGTTAATTTTTTTAATAATAATATTAAATAAAATTCAAAAAAATTTCTTACTAACGTCTTGTTCTTTTTTAGTTGCTTCATCAATCATTTTACGTTCATTTATTAATGGACGTTGAGCTATTAATGATTGAGCAAGTACATTAGAAGAATATTTATCTTTTAAACTTCAAAAAAAAAAACAAAAAACATTATAATAGATAAATATTTTATCCTTACACTGAATAAATTTGATTAACTAATGATTCAACAAATGAAAATTGTGAAAATTCATAAAGAATTTTAACAAATGAACAAATAAATATTGGATCATCTACAAAAAATAAAACTAACAAAAAAAAAACAACTTCTACATAACTTATTATTTACTTTGAATAGTTGTTTGTGCATTATGAAAAACAATTTCAACAATTTTGCCTTGTAATATAGCATCATCTTCATTATTTTCTATTTCTTGTTTTGTTCGATCAAGTACTAATTGTCGTTTTTGTATTAATTCAACATAGAGTAATTCAAATTTAAAATACTATTAAAAATAAATTAATTTTTTGTTTTTTTTTTTTTGATTTAACAAAATCTTCTATACAATAATTTACTTCAAGCCAAAGTTTTTTTTCATTTGGTTTTATACGAAGTGCACGTTGAAATAATGAACGAGCTGATGATGGAGATACCATAGTTTCAAATTCAAATTTTGCTGCCATTATCCATAACCCTAATTTCAAAACAAACAAAAAAATACAAATCATATTGAAAATTTTCATGAATTACAATTAAGTGAAAACTTCTATCTCATATCTTCGAAGGATCTATCTAATTTTTATTAAAAACTTTCATTGAGAATATTAAAGTATGGTTCGAGTAACTCTACAAAAATGCGAATTTTCAGCTCGCTACTTACAATATTTATTTCCATGTGTATGTAATGCAGTTGTAAATATACTTGATGCTGTTGAATAATCATACTATGAAAAAACAAAATATGAAGAATAATAATTTTTCCAAAAAAAAAGATATTTTAATTACTTGTTTTTTAAGAAATTCAATAAATGTTAACCATAAATTAACATCTTTCTTAAATCGATGACATGCACTCTAAATAAATAAAAATGAAAAATATTTAAAAACAAAAATTTTTTTTTTCTTACACGAAAAAGTCGTTCAATACGTCGTTTAATAGCTAAATCGATTTCATTTTTCTTATAAATTCTTCCTAATTTTAATTTCTATAAATAATAATATAGATTTTATAAAGATCATTTTTTACATATATATATATATATTTACTTCTCGACGAAGTTGTACAAGTTTAAGAAGATGAGTTTCATACTTAAATCAAAATTAATTATTTTATTGAAATAAAATATATTAAAATTCATTTACTTTTATATAATCAAGATAACATTCTTTTTCTTTTGTTCGTCGAATGATCTTATATTCATGTCGTCTTCTTGTTCGAACTATTTTTCTTAAAATAGAAAAATAAGAAAGATATACACAAACTCTGAGAGAGCAACATTGTCTCATTCTAGACACTAGATAAAAACATTGGTTGTTTCATTATGAGGTCATCTATAAAGAACCTTCTGAAAACGGGAGGAACATCCAAAACCTAACAAGAAGATCGAGAGTTTAAAACAAAACGATTTTTGACTGAGCATACTTTATAGATAACTTCTATTGAAAAAGTTTGTCAATATAATCTATGTATTTCATATGAAAAACTTTCAGCGAATTTATAATCTTTTATAAAAGTATAATAAGCAATTTTAATTGAAAATAAAAAGAGAAATGATTTTTCTTTTTTAATTTAATTATTTTCATACTTAATTTCAGCTTCTGTAAACAAGCCAATTCGTTTAGCTTGTTCAAATTCTGATAACATATCTTCTAAATGACGTTGTACGACTTCAGCCATGATTGTTCAAGTCTAATCATAAAAAAAAAAAAAATAAATTAATAAATTCTACAATAAATATATATAAAACATGTTGCTAGTCAGGTCAAAAAAAAAGATATACATTTATTTACACATAATTTATTTCTCCAAAGAGATTTAAATAAGAAATATAAAAATTTCTTATGTTATATATCTTCTATAAATAAATGACCTATTTGACAGCAAAGATATTATAAATAAACGAAGATAACCTTCATTTGTGAATATCTTTATAATAATTTACGAAGAAAATACTAAGACTTTATTCATAAAAATAAAATCTACTCTAATCTTCGATTGATTTTTTTCTTTTTTTTGGTTTAACTAAACCTACCAATTCAATATTTTTCTTACAAATGAATAAAAAACCTATTTCAGAAAGAAAAGAAAAAAAACAACAAACAAACAAATGGATGTATTATAACCAGTCAGTACTAATGTGTGGAGTCCAAAAAAATATCTTAACAGCTGATAATAGATGTCGTCAAAAATCTTTCTATTGTATTGGTCATCTTTTTTTTTTTCTTTAAAGTGCTACCATCGACCCGTAATCATCATTCATAGACGTTCGTTCGTTCTCTTCTCTTTTATCTTCTATATTTAATTGTAAAATGGATACTCATTCAATGGTTAGTGAAAAGAATACAACAAATACAAATTCATCATTATCAACTTGTTGGCAAGCACGTGATGCTTGGTGGAAATGTTTAGATTTATATGATAATTGTGAATCAAAATGTCAAAAACAAATTGAACAATTACATCGTGATTGTAGTGCACAAATGGTATATATATATATATCAGATTTCTTTTTTTTTTTTTTTTTTTTTGATAATGTAAAATATTTATTGATTGATTTTATATTTAGGTACAATTTTTTGAAGAAAGACGTGCAAAATTAACACAAGGAAAAACAAATCGAAAATTAATGTTATCACAAGATATTTTACATAATTATTTAACTGATTTTCGAAATAATGCTAATCATAATTTTTCATCACATCAAACTGGTTTTCCTTTTGATGATGATGATTAAAATAAATCTAAATTTATGTATATATATATATATATATATATTGTAGATAGAAAATTTTTAATAGTAGTATTTATCGAAAATGAATATTGGTAATATTCTTTTATGTGTGTATTTTTAAGTTATAATAAGAAAAAAAAAAAATCTTCATGTTTTCTCCTTTATCTATTTCTGTTAACATGACAGAGCAAAATAAATTCTTTTGTTTTTTTATTTATTTATTTAAGATATATATATATAGAATTTTATTTTTGGTTTTTTTGTTATTTTAATGACAACTACTCATCCGTCATCATCATCATCTACTACTAATTCTTCAGCTATAGTTATTCAACAATTAGCTGAATTATTACGTACAAATGGACATCGAGTATTACATGGAGATAGTAAAGTGTGTTTTACATCGGATTCACTTATTCTATTAAATAATTATTTTCATTCGGCTAAACTTGATATGACATTACCATTAGTAAATGGTCATTCAATAACAAATTCATTACCACCATTATTACCTGTTCAACATTTAAGAATTAATACAGCACTTAGAGATGATTTAGTATTTTTACATGATTTTTTACAAAAAATACAAGTTGTTAAAGTATGTTAAGAATTTAATATAGATTTTATTTTTTTAAAATTTTTGTAATAATTATTTTTTTTTTTTATTAGTTAATTCATAATTCACCAACTCTTCAAGGAAATGTTCTTCTACATCCATTTCAACATGTTATTTGTCTTGAATTAAAAAAAATTCCACCACATATGGTACTTGGTTTATCTTCACTTCGTCATCAACTTGAAACATTAATTTGTTCTCAATCTGTAACAAAAATTGAAGTAAAATATTTTTATTTTCATTAAATTTATATTTTAATAAATCAAAAAGGATTTAATAAGTGATTGTGGTGGAGATTCAACACAACCTCAAACATGGCCACGACTTAAATCACTTTTTCTTGCTCATAATTTTATTGAATGTCTTGATCAATCATTAGTAAGAAAAAAAAAAAAAGATTATTTTATTGTATTACTTTTAATCTTCAATTTCTAGAGATATTTAGTTGCACTTGAAGTACTTGATTTAAGTCATAATCGATTACAAGATTGTTCAAAGATATTAGATGTTAGTAAAGAATGTTTTTTTTTCGAAAATAAAAAATTTTCTTCTTCTAATAGATAATACCTCATATAAAACATTTAAATCTTTCATCTAATCATTTACGTAATATACCAATATGGTCAGAAACAAAAGGTCCATGTCGATTATTAACACTTAAAATACGTCAAAATTCTATTGAACATATAAATGGTATAAGAAAACATAACAAAAAAAAAAAAAAAACTTCTTTCTTTAAGGTATTGAATTAATGAAAACAATTGAAGAATTAGATTTAAGTGATAATTTTATAACACGTATACCTGAACAAATTCGACATTTGTCAATGATAAAACGAGTATAAATTATTTAAAATAAATAAAAATTCAATATGTTTATTTTTATTAGCTTTACTTTGCACGTAATCCATTTACATATGCATCGAATTATCGACAAAATATTATATATAATTTACCATTTGTATTTTCACAAGAAAATCGAGAAGTTCGTTTTTTTTTTTTTTTTTTTTTTTGATTTTTTTTTTTTGTTTTTAATTGTTATCTAAATTTAGCTTATAATTGATAATGAACAACTGACATCAAAAGAGAAACAAGTAGGTTTTGTTTTTTGTTTTTAATTAATTAATTAATTAATTAATTAAAATTTGTTTATTTTATTTTTATCTTTAAGAAAATTCCACGAAAACGTAATCCTCCAACAACTCTTGTTCAAGGTTTTAGATTTCATTCAACAACAGCAATAACATCATCACAAAATACAACAACAACAACAACAACAACAACAAGTGATTCAACAACAGAACCAGATTCAATTGTAACAAATTCATCCGGAACAGTTGTTTCTCGACGGTAATATTAGAAATTCAATTTATTTATTAAAAAAAAAAATTAAATTATAACTTTATACAATTAGAACCGATCGGGCTCTTTACATATAATACGAATATATATCATAATAGAACAATAATTTCTTGAATTCTTAGATTGAGAACATAATTGAATATCTCTACTATAATTTGACATTAACGTTCTTTTTTTTTTTCTGATGATAGAGTTGTTGATATCCATAAGGAGAAATGTTGAAAAGAAATATTATTATTATTAATTATAACAAAAAGAAAATTCTATTCTCTTATAAGCAGTCAGTAAAAAAGACAATACGATCGAGTATCTTGTCTTCTAATTGAACCCACGTTTATCTTTGCATTTATAGTTATATAAGCTTTGAAAAGAGCTAATAAATTGAACAAAGGATGATGGATAAAGGACACGTTGAGAATGACGCAAGAACAAAAGACATTAAATAAGCAAACAGAAAGAGAAAGCGAGTTCAAGTATATCCAGATGTATAAGAAAGAATAAAGATATATATATATATATATATCACGAAGATTACCCATATTGAACTTGGACAATAGAAGGAAGAAAACATATCTGAATGACATTATAATTGTATATGATAGTTAAAAGTGTGATTTAATTATTAATGGTTTATTTCGACAAAGTGGCTTTCTTTCGCTGAGCTACTTTTTTCGTAATATGTGACATAAGAGAATCTTTTTTTTGTTGAATATCAAATAGGAATACAGTTCTTTGCAACTGTTTCTCTTATGGAATACTCATTTATGATCAGTAGAAAAAATTCGAATTCATTTAATCAATTTATGTCGGAGATATTCAATATTTTTTATTTTTTGTACGGTAAAGTGAATTTTGATCTATACTGCAGAAATTTTGTAGAGATGTTGATGATGTATAATTAAAATTCATTTTTGTACATATTCAATTGAAGAATAACAATCTCTAATTTGTCATTGATTTTATTATGAAAAGAATATAGAAATAAAATCTTTATTTTTTTAAGTTGAGTTGAGTTGAGTCAGGAAATTGATGTTTATTAGAAAAGCATATATTATAATAGAAATGAATTTCCTCATACACAATTCAAAAGTATATACACATTATTTCTCTATTCTTTTTATATTAAAATCAATCTCCTGCACTTCTATCTCAAAGTATCGAACTAAATTTCCATGAAACTTTTCTCTTTTTTTTTAATAGTCATTTCATTTAAGTTTCCTGAAAAGCGACGAAAGTCAAACAATCACATAGGTTTACGAAAAAATAAATTTATTCAGTTTTACTGTTATGCTTACATTTCTTTTAAAGCTATTTTAATCCTTTTGGGTGTATATTTTTTCTATACACACTCAAAAGGACTCAAGGATCAAAAAAAAATGAAAGCCACAGTAAAACAGGATAAATTTAATTTCTCGTAAATTCTTCGACAATAAAATCTTTCAAGTATCTTATTATAAGATTTCTAAGAGTACGATTTTATTTTATCTTACTCAGTAATCAGAAAAAATTTTATTCATTTTTCTTTATCTAGTCGATCTCGTCGAAAATTTCGAGATGGACGTTTACGTTCACTTGATAATGATGAAACACCAACAGAACATGGTAAATAAAAAATTTCTTTATAGTTCTTTTTCCTGTCATGCATTCTATTTATTTTAGCTACATCCGGTTCGGAAAATGAATCAGCTATACAAAGACGTCATTTAGGAAAATTAGATGAATCACGTCAAGAAACTGATAATTATTTTACATCACCATCAACATCAATTGTCGAAAATAATTCTACAATAACAATACTTGAACATGATGATACTATATTAAAATCACCACCATCAACATCTATTGCAAGTAGTATACCACGTAAATTAGCAAATGATTTATCAAGTGTAAGATTAAATTTTAAAAATAAAAAATAAGAAAATAATCTAAATATAATAGTCTCCAAAACGAAAAAAAAGTCCTCGTTCTCGTAAATCCGATCAACCAACAAAAATTATTTTAGAAGTTGTTGATTATTCAAATGCATTATCTGATACAACACCAATACCTGAATCACCAACATCAGAAAAAGAAATTTCATTTAATGATAAATATTCAACAGTAATAATACCTAAAGATGAAATAAAATTAATTACTAATGATGAACCTAATACTGGCGGTATGGAAATAAATTTTTTTGTTTTTGTTTTAATGAATATACTACATGTTTATATTCATTTAGTTGTTCAGATAGTATACGAACAATATTTTTTGTTACTGATCAAACATCAAATGATAATAATAATAATCGTTCATTTACAATTGAAATTGATCCAATGCATTTAATTGAAAAAGATAATAATGATGAAAATTATATAGAAAAACTTAAATATTCAACAATTACACTTTTAACTAATAATGAAAGGTTTAATATATAAAGATATAATTATATTAAATTTTATGTCTAAATTTTTATTTTTAGTAATCAAAAAACTGTTGAATTTACATTTGAAAAACGACGAGGTGAAGTTGAACAAAGAATTTATTTATTTGATACAATACATGATCAAAAGGTTCTAAATAAACAAAAATATTAGATTTTTATGTTTTTTTTTTTTCTTTAATATTTAATTAATAAAATATTTCTAGGCATTTGTTGAAGAAATTGAACGTCATCTTGAATCATCAACATCAATTGAAATACAACCTAATTCACCACCACTTATTGAGGTTTGAAAAATAATTTAAATAGATTCCTTAACTTTTCCTTTCAATTTAGTGTACAAAATGTGGAAAAAATTTTCCTGATTTAACTACAATGAACAATACCGGTTAGTACAAATAAGAAAAACAAAAGACAGGAGAATTATATTGAAATTCATTGGTATATAAAATTATACAGTCAAATCTTTGCGAGATATGTACATAGACCACTCGTTTTTAGTTCCGATTCCCCTCTAAAAAAATTAAATGGCTTCACATGTCTTGATTAACCTAACCGAAGATTTTTAGAAAGAAGATCTTCATATTAAAGGTCATCTTAAGTTCGACGAAAGTTCCATGGAAAAAGCAAAACAATACTACCCTTTATTCTATTATATCCATTGTATCATATCAACAGTTACAAAACAGTATGCTATGTTGATTGATCAGCATGTTCTATTGAGGAGAATAAACAAAAAGTCCTGAAGAATAATTATGTCTATCTTAAAATGGGTCTAAAAAAAGTGATATACTGTGTTTTCTTTCTCAGTAGGAGATATCGAACATAAATACAGTATATTATTTTGTAGTCGCTGATGTAATACATAAAATGAATTCTATAGCTATATATCTATCAAGGTTATCATAAGAAAGTACTTGTACCCAATCTTTGCTTAATATTGAATACATCAAGTCTATGTCAAAAAAAAAAAGTTTGATAACAAACAGTCGAGTAGGAAAAATCTTGACCTAATTAACTTTATTTCATAAACTTATCAGAATACATTTTTTGTAATTTTTCTTTTTTGTAGAAAATACATCATCTTATATTTGTTTAAATTGTCAAACTGCAGCAGCAATACCACCACCACCTAAGTAAATATATATATATATATATATATTCTTTTTTGACTCTAATTGTTTATATATTAGGTTAGACGATGAATCACAATCAAAAGCACCTATTGATGAACTATCTGATGAAATTGAACTTGATCATCGTTTCCATTTTCATTTAGCTACAGAACATTTTACACATGATAATGAGCAAATAAAATTACATTTTAAAGTAAATCGAAGAAAATATTTTAATTTATTACTTAAATTTTTTTTTTCAAAGTGTTTTGTTGTTCGTTCAACAACAAATAAATATTTTATTGCACAAACTATTCTAACAGATTATGGTATTTATATATTTCAACATGAAGCGTATGGTTAAATTTTTATTTAAATAAATATATGAATAAATTATTTATTAAAATTTTTAGATCAAATGATGATATAGAATCTGAATATATTCTTGTTGGTAAAGATCTTTTAACAAATGTACTTATGGTTGATATTGGTTATCGTTTACAAACATTTACAATTGAATTACAATCAGCTGCATTTGCTTTTATTCTTGCTGATCAACAAAAAACACAAAATATTGTTAATCATATTCTTGGTAAAGAATATTTTAAAAGAAAATTAAATAAGAAAAAAAAATTTTATTTCTTTTTACAATTTTTATAGAAGTTCTTTCACCTATTGTTGAAAGTGGTGAAGGTGCATTACAAAAAATTAGTCGTATTAGTTCCGATGAATATCGACAACGTTTATTTGATATAATTAAAATTGAATGTAATATTATGGAACCAGATGATGATATGATTGATTTTTATTCAACTATGATTCGAGTGGATCAAAGTTAGTTAAAAGATTTATTTAATTAAATTTTTTAATAACTAAAATTTCTTAGCTTTGAAATATATAGAAACAAAAAAAAACGAAAAGATTCTTAGTTTAATATTCACAAATATCAAAGTGATGGAAAAAAGTTTAGAAACAACGAGTTTTTTTTGGTTTTTTTCATAATGTTAAGCATGTAGCTCCAATCTAGATAGTGATTTTAGTAGCCAATGAAGTTTTCTATCCAATACACTTTATAGCAAGATTTCACAGATGAACAATAATGGCAAGGCTCCTAAAAAACCGAACACGGTATTTTTTAGGGTCTAGAAGGCTTTGCCAGAGCTCCCTTTGAACGGTGCCATCTTAAAGAGCACAAAATTCTGAACAAAATGAGGAATCGCCGAGTTTTCTACGATCTTCTCATAAAAAGTTACAAGCATCACAAAAATCATGAAAAAACAAAATTTTTTTAAAAATCGACTATAAAACGCCTTTTTCATGATTTTTATGATATTTGGAACTTTTTACGAGAAGTTCGTAGAAAACTCGGCGATCCCTCATTTTGCTTAGAATTTTGTGCTCTTTAAGATGGCACCGTTCAAAAATAGCTCTGACAAAACTTTCTAGAACCTGAAAAATACCGTTTTCGGTTTTTTAGGAGCCTTGTCATCATTGTTCATCTGTGAAATCTTGCTATAAAGTGTATTGGATAGAAAACTCCATTGACTATTAAAATCACTATTTGGATTGGAGCTATGTGTTTAACATTATGAAAAAAGTCAAAAAAATCATTGTTTCTAAACTTTTTTCCACCACTTTACTTAATACAATTTTAAGATTCATATAGTTATAAGAATTGTACTGAAGTATTGTAATACACCGCTATAAAAAAGGGCACATTTTGATAGAGTCGGTGTTTCGATGTTGCAGCGAACGCAGATATCAGTGTTTAATATTTCAATATTTACACCAACACTGCACATCTGTCATCATACATAATACTTCATCTATTTTTTGCTATAGAATTTTTCATGATCTCTTATTATTGACGTAGCGTGAAAATCGTAGACTGATATACTTGATATAGTATGTATATAACGTTATTCAAAACCTTGAGATTTGTAGTTACAGAACGATATTCTCGTTACTGTACAAGAGATTTACTAAGATTTTCGATTATCGACAATGAATAATCTAAAGATTCAAATGATCTAAATCTCGTTGTTCTTTTTTTTTGTTTTTTATTGAAGATGGTAATAGTCAAATGATTGCTTTATTACTTCTTCAAAATTGGATATTAATGATTGAAGATGCTTATGCAACAATTAATTCACGTCATGTTCGTTTACCTGCTCAATTAACATCAGAATCAGGTACAAATCAACAATTAAAATGTGATCTTATGCATTTGGTTAATGTGGTAAGTTGGTTTTTTTTCTTTCTATTTAATTAAATATTCTTCATCGTTTTCTTTTTTTTTTCTTTTATACAAAAGACAAATTATTTAAATCATCCAAAATTATTAGTTTTTGATTTTGTTGATGAATCAGAAACTCAACAATTTCGATGGAAATTAGAAAATATAACAAATGAAAGTAAAAATGAATTTTTAAGAAAAGTTCGAGATACTTATAAAACATTTATGGGTATTTCTATGCCAGAAAAATTGGTATGTCCAAAAAAACAAACCTCTTTATTTCATTTTTTTTTTGTTTCTCTTTTAGGAAATGCTATAAACAAAACAAAAAAAACAATAAATATATATTTAAAATTCATATCTATGTGTGTGTTTTGACTATGTATTGTTTTGTTGTAATCTTTTTTTTTTTTTCTTATGTATATTACTCTTACAAAGAAGATTATTTTTTCTTGTTTCATTAAAATCTAATAAAAAAAAATAAAAAATAAATTATATAATTGCAATTCTTTAATTTTAGAAAATCCAAAAAAAAAAAAAATAATAATGTGTGATCTATTTCAAGCTAATCCATGGAAACCATTATTATGTACAAATTGTCATCAAAATCGTTCAGGTCATCAAATAATTAATATAAATGAAAATAAATGTGAACATATAATATCAAATAAATCTAATGATTTACCATCATCATCATCATCAATGCATCTTTATGAAGAAATTATGGCACAATATTTTACAATAAATACAACAAATATAAATAATACATTACAATCAACATCTGTTATTGAATGTTTACCAACATCAATTGAAAATAATATTGATGATGATGATGATGTTGATTCATTTTCTGATGAAGAACAAGATTTAATAAAACAAACAACAACAACGACAACAACAACAACAACACCTATTGAATTTATACAAAATCAATCAATGATTAATACACAAGGTATTGTTCTTATTGGACCAGATATACGAACAAAACAGATAACAACAAAAAAACAAAAAAAACTTAATTTATTAAAAAAAAGTAAAAGTAATGCTGATGAATGTTTAAAAAAAACAGATATTATTGATAATAATAATAATAATTCATCAAAATCATGGTGGTTTAAAGTAAAAAAAACAAATCCATCTCCAAATATTCAAAATGACTCAACGATTGAATCAAATAAATCAAATGTATATCTAATTGTTTAATTATTAACGAAAAAACAAAGAAAATTTTTCATTATTATTCTTCTTTTAGATTTCAAGTCCGATATTAAATAATCAAAATCAACAACCAAGAATTCGTGTTTTACCTGAAATTAATAAATTAACATTAAATGAAGGTATACTCAATAATTAATATGAGTAGATCATACTGGCGAGCGTCTATCGAGAAGGAGGCTGAGTCATAATTTCTATTCTATATACTTCAACACTCGTTTTCCGATCGTGTTTTCACAAAAATAAAGAACGATTATCATCATATTAATCGTTATGTAAGAAGAATGTAGTACTGGTCAAAAATACATGATCGAAATAATTTTATACTTTTCTCTATGAAAACAAGATATGCAAATATAGTGATTTGAATAGCCAATGAAATTCTCTATTAATTGAAATTTCATAGATGCATCATGAGAGAAATATTCCTCAAAAGCTAAACACGGTACTTTTCAGATCTTATGTGATTATTAAGAATACCATCTTCAAGAGCAGGAAATTTTGAATTGCATGAGCGACTTCTGCACTTCCTACGACCTTCTCTTAAAAAACTATAAGCATAACAAAAAAATGCGGTTCTCTCATAAATTTCGCTCTGTGATGCTTATAATTTTGTAAGGAAAGATTGTACGAAATGCAGTGACCCCTCATTTTATTCAGGATTTTACACTCTTTAAAGTGGCATTCTTAATAGTCTTCTGGGACCGGAAAACTACAGTGTTTATTTGTTGAGAAACCTTCCTCTTATAATCCATCGATGAAGTTTCAGTTGATAGAGAATTTTATAGTTTATTCAAAGCACTATTTGCATATCTTGTTATGCTAAATTATGTTGGTCTTATATCAGTACTGTTGAAGAAACATAACCAAACATCATAATCACAAAAAAAAAGAAACTCTTTAGTCAATATTGATATTTAAAATATGACTTGATCAATGATTCTATTTTTGATAATTATCCTATATGTCAGAAATTAATCGTTTGATTCAATCATTAAATTTCCTATAGAAAAAAAAAAAAAAACTTTCTTTACTATTGAAAATGAGGATAATATAATTTATCTGTTTTTTTTTTTATAGCCTTAAATATTGCTCGACGTCAACATTCATTAGCTAATCGTGAATCAAAATTAACTATTCATAATAAACCATATCATTTTCCAACAATTTCAACTGTACAATCTAATTATGGTTCATCAATTGCATCAACAACATCATCATCAACACAATCAAGTAATGAATATGATAGTAATTTAGTAAATAATTCAACAATAAGAGAATCAACTTATTTAACAGCTATATCACCTATTGAAAAAAATTCATCAAAAATAACAATATTTGATAAAACAATTAAATTAACTATTGAACGTATAACAAATGATCTTCGAATAATTATTGATGAATATAAACATAATCTTCCAGTAGCTCGTTTTCAAACATTAAAATCATTTCTTCATCAACATCAATCATCAAAAATTTTATCTAATGAATCAATTTATTTTTTAATTTTACAAATTCTTGATGAATTTTCTCATAATTCAACTCATACAATAATAACATTTGATCATTTTCTTGTTGCTAGTCATTCAACAATACCGATTATTGTAACAACAACATCATCAGTTATAAATGAATATGAATCAATTGAACAATTTATTAAAAATTTAGCTAATAAATTATTTGATTCATCATCATTACCAATATTTAATAATCTTTCAACATTTGAAAATATATCATATCGTTATTTATCTAATCAAATATTTCAATTTTCTAATATTGATATAGATAATAATATAACAATACAACGTATTAAATTACTTAATGTATTTTGGAATAAAATACAATCATTACGAAATATTCAGATAAATGAAGATAATGAACGTTTCATTTTTGCACTTTATTATCTTATGAAATATATTTGTCAGTCAGATGATTCTATTTAGATATGTTTAAATCAAATTTGTAATAATCTTATCTCAGGAGTTATGTTTTTTTTTTTAATAATGATCTCAGATAAATGTTGTTTTGTGTTATGTGTATTTTGTGCAGTAGGGTTTGCTTTTTATATGATTAGTTTTTACGTATTGTTTTATTGTGACCGTATTGCATGTTTTAGTATTTATTATAAAGCTCAATTCATCACGAGTAAAAATTTTGAAAAAAAATTTTTTTCACATTAATAAATTATATCATCTTAAAAGAAATTATTTATGATATTATATTCGAGATTATTTCTCAAGAGTTCAATATAAATAAATGTAGATATGTTATTGAATAAAATAGCATAGTTTTGATAATATTAATTATAATTTTTATCAAAGATTTATTTGAAACAAATAAATTTATAATTTGAAATACAATTGTTTGCATGCTTTACTTTGCGCATATTTCTTTTTATTAGAGTCCCGCAGGACATTAAGGATTGACACAGTTTGAAAATAAGAAAGGAATTTGGAACTTGAAAAAAATTTCTCCCACAGAACTCTAGTTTTTATATACATCTGCTTGAATTGTTCTATCTCTTAAAAGATATTGTTTCAGAGAGTACTATATTATGCTATAATTTAAAATTTTATTCATTCATCTTTCGAAGAAATTACAAAAAAAAAAACATCTGCTATTCTCAGACAATGTATAATAATATTAAAATTTTAAAAGTCTTTGATTAAAAATTTCATTCGAGTTCTCTGATGCTTCGTTTGATTTTATTTCCTACTTTTGAATTTAACATTTTCTATCTGGTTTCAATTCAATCTATTAAACGAATCGATCTATTGTTTAAGCTTTATTATTATTGACAAATGGTTTAGCAATACTATTGGTATACTTGAAGTTATGATCATGTTATAAATGTTAGTCTTCGTGAACTTTCACTATAACAAGGAAATAGATAATTGAAGAATGTTGCATCTCTTTGAGCTGTCTATATGATATCATTGATTTCTTTAAATGCTATCGGGTTATTGGGAGGAAGATGTCATGGTTTTTCACGATTAGTCATTGTTTGATTAAGCAGGGTACTACACATATCTCTTGGGCTTTGTCGAACTGTCTAAGTGTAATCAGTAACCCACCCAAACGATCCCATCGTTCGGCGTTAGGATTGGTCTCTTTGTGCATGCATTCAGTCAGTTCATGGAGTTCTGAATCGTTGTTCTTAGTCAATGTTAAATCGACTTGCTAAAGACGATTATTTCTATCGATTTGTTTCATTGATCTGATACAAAAGATGCAATGCATGGAAAAGAGAATTTCTTTTTTCTCCTTTAAAATAACTGACATCACAGATGTCAGCAAACGATGGTGATCGAATGGACGGATCAATTTTCATGACGAATAAGATGTGAACAAGATCAGACGTTGGAATAATTTTACGAGCAAATCTGAGTGAGACTTGAGGGGCCTCACTAGTCGATACAAAACTATTAAATGATAAGAGTCCACCTTTCGTTTTGGCTAATTGATCAAAGTCAGCTTCCGAGAGTTCTTGACCACGATAAACAGTAAATAAACTGGAGGTTAATTGCCCAGCAAATTGTTGAGCATAAAGCTCAGCGACATGATTGTGGAGATCTCGAATGAAAAATCCCATTCTTATGATGATATCGACCTCCATCATGCGTAATGATCGATTCAACAGTGAATAAAAAAAACATGGATACGTATACCACCATATCGGAATATGTTCGTAGTATTTCCGTTCAATATTGTAAACATTTTAGAGTTCTCTCGAATTCGTGACAAATAATTGACAGCAGAAAATAGTAAATTCATCGATATTGTTGTTGTCTGAAATCAATGGTTAATAAAATTTCCTTCATTATTCTCGTGCACATAAATGATGAATCCAATTGATCGAAGTTTTGATTGCTGCTTTTACTACATGCAGTGATAAAACTGATCGAAATCATGTTTTGGTCACATTCCTGTGCCACTTGTTGAGGATCTTTACAGATAGAAGCAATATCTATAAAGACTCATTTTATTTTTGGCCGTTGTTTAGCTCAATCTTCATATAGAGCTTGATTCTCACTAAAAACATAGATCGTGTTGATTTATGGAATGTTGTAGACGATAGGAATAGTTGTTTGCCCGAAGAGACAT